TGATTGATCACGTGGATTTTTGAATAAAGTTATATATTGTGAGTTAAGTGATATATTTCTACTCTCAGTTCCGCGAATGAAAAAATTTTGAACAATTAAAATTATTGATATATTTCTATGATGACTTCCTTTGGTAAACAATTCTGAGATTAGTTTTGAACTGGCTGACTCATGCATCAAATCATCGATGATTATCCATGTTGGCTTTTACCCAGTGAGTTAATTGTGTCTTCTGGTAAACCACGAATGAATTCAACATTCTGAAACTCATTAAATTTATCTTGATACTCACCATAGAAATAGACGAATCTTTCTGGAATAGGTTTACTAATTATCTTACTATTGTCAATTAATTGTTTAACAAATTCAGTTTTCCCACAACCTGTTGGACCGGCAATTAACATAGTAAAAGGGTGACGCAAATAGATTTTATAATGAATCATCTTTATTTGTTATTATTTTTATATCAATTTCTTATACAAATTAGACAAGAATTCCATAGCTGTCCGGCCATCCATCTCGATGATCTTTGTCTTCTTTTCTTGGTGAACAATCTTTCTTTTTAAAGTCAATTAGATCAGGTTTATTTCCACCCTTTTCGACCCACTTGCTCATTCCCATTACAGCATTTAAACTACACTTACCTGGACCATTATGGAAAGAACAAGGGGTAGAACTGGTTTCCAATGAATTCCAATTACCTCCTCGTCGTTCAAGATTGATTCTTGGAATACCAAAGGATCTTAGAATTGACTCTGATTCTTTCGATTTACATGCCACTAGATATTGATCAGGATTAACATTAGCCTCATAAAACGTAATCAGAAGAGTCTTCATAGCGGTGAGACTTATTCCTCGCTTGGCATCGAACGGCAAACCGTGAAGGTTTCGCATGCAGTGGGAGGCTGATCGTTTTTCATACCAAGATAGGTCTTGGTACTTGATACCATGATCAACACTGAATACACTAGTACCCGTCTTGTTATGGATAGCAAACTCACGAGGATAGAACTTGTCATTATAATAAAAACCTTGAGCATCAAAGTAACAACAAATATATTCCATGATGATTAAATGATGTCTATTAACATTGACTCTCTTTATTTATACTAAACATTTGATTCATGTACAGTAAAGACCGCAAGAGGGCGGGATTCTCAGTGTGAGCATCAACCAAACCTTTCAAAAAATCGCCGTTGAGTTTTTTTATGAAGATAACCTTGGGAATATGTTCACGTGGCCACATTGTGTTGATGTAATTACTTGCATAGTCTCGCCATATTTGATCAGAATTGGTTATGAGTTGATTAGAGCTTTCCTTCGTTAGTTTACCTTCGGTGATCATCTCCTCTTCTTTCCAAGGTTGATCTATACGACCAGTTTCCTTTATCAGTGTTGCTAGGATAAACACATCTGCAAGAAACAATGAGCCTTTGAGGGTCCTTGATGAATAGATGACAGGTGATAGCATTTCCATCAAATAAACAACACCGGGAATTAGAGCAATTACTGTTGGAACAATATTTTTATCGATACAGAGTCTCCGATTCCTTTTAGATAGAGTAATTCCATTGTCATTGTTTTCGATTGTTAGTTCTTCTATTTTTTCTGTGGCTCCAATGTCGTCTATCTTCGAATTACAGAAATCACCAATTCTACTGAGCTCACGTCGGGTTAGATTAACACCAGCCAATGTAGGTTTGTCTTCGATGAATTCACGTAGATCTACTCTTGCACATCTAATCTCACCATTTCTGAGTTCACCCCAAGAAATAGTTAAATTGTACTTGTTGATTTTAATTGGATTTAACGATGACCAGTTTAATGTTGACATGTTGAACGATTGATTTATAATGAGTTGTCGGATCGTTTGACTTCCCTTTTTATACCTACCAAGGCTTTGAATTCATTGAACATATCTTGCAACCCTTTGTATGATTTAGCCCCGGTAACAATTAACTTTCCTGTTGAATAATAAACAACACATAATTTATCTTTTCTCCAAATATATGCTGGGAAAATTTCCGGCTCATAACTCACTCCAGGTAGATTTTCAATATTAGGTTTACTTTTTAAAAAAGCCGACGCTGTAATATTAACAATACGAATAAATTTAGATCCTGGATAAGCAGATTGAACATGAACACGAGCTTGTTTTATTGTTTTACATCCTGTGGCGATTATTTTCCCTGATTCAAATGCGAGTAGAGTTTGTAGACCATTTTTTATTACATCTGCATTGAATTTTTTCATTCGATTGTTGAGAGGAATTTTTTGACCATAGTCCCATAATGACACGAGATTAGCTATTTTCATTTTGAACAAAGGAGATGATGAAATAATACCTAAAGATTATGAGAATGGTTAGAGCGAGGAAAAGCAGCAATGCGTAAACTAGATCACTCATGATTTATAATTGACCGATTAAATAATTTGTGACAAGTATTTATAGTTTTTAATCATTTTTATTCTTATATTAGATCATATGCGATCAAGAAAGATTCATATTTATCTGAAAACTCTTTGCTTTTCAATAGTTTCATCAGTTCCATATTTGCTTTAACATGACCAAATACCAATTTATTAGGGAGATTGTCATAATCAATTTGGTCAACCAGAGCTTTGAAACGTTTAAATGTATCAAAAGAGATTTCAATAGTCCAATTTGGTCCATCAATTTCATCATATCCATCTGGTTGACTATGCGCCCATTCACTTATCTCCACTGTGAAATTTGAAAATTTTTCATTTTTCACAATATTAATTATTAGATTGGCTTTTAGACCACTCGCACCGTAATTAAATACAACTTGATCTGTCCACATTTTGATACTAATGATCAACTAACAAAGACCTTTGCTTTTTATACCTATTGTTATTGCATCATTTTTGCATTGCATCATTTTTTCAAGGTTATTGCTTACGTCATCCTAGACAGTGACATCGAATGATGGTTTCAAGGTCACTATTGACGTCATCCCAGACAGTTCATTGAACTGTCTGGAACGTTCTAGAACATTCTTTGAACCCCACCCCCGTTTCCGTTTCCGCTTCAGAGCCAGAAGCGGAGGTTTTCATACTACTAATTCTGGTCAATATCAATTATCGATCTTTATGCTTAGACGACAAGGTCCATTTGAAACAAGAGATATTGACAACTTGATCACTTATAGTGATCCATTCACCATTGGTTCACCGAGACCTCCATCTTCTCATGGATCTTCATTTTTTATATCCTGTTGATAATATTACGAGTAAAATAAATAGTAATAGTTAAGAACCGTGAGGAGGTGGAGGTCTCGATGAACCGATGGTGAAAGGATCACTATAAGTGATCAAGTGCGGACCTAATCCGAAGTCTTACCGGAGATTCTGATTAGGAGATTCTGATTAGGAGATTCTGATTATTAGATTCTGATTAGGAGATTCTGATTAGGAGATTCTGATTAGGAGATTCTGATTAAAGGATTCTGGTGCTATTTAATTAAGTTGATTCGGGCTACCCGGATCAACTTAAGAGCACAAAAGGGAAGGAAAGAAGTTCCACCATATCTGGCACCAGGTATGGTAAGGAAATAGTCAGGGAAAGGAAGAGACACAATTAAGATCACAAATTAGATCACAATAAGATCACAATAAGATCACAATAAGATCACAAATAAGAGAGAGAGAAAGAAATACATTTTTTGTTGTTGATGGTTGAGAGTGAAGAGAGAGAATGAAGAGAGAAAGAGAAGAGAAAATAAAGACAGAGAAAGAAAGAATTTATAGAAAGAGAGAAGAGAAAGAGAAAAAAAATTAACAATCATGGGAAATGGTAAAAGAAAAACATAATTATAAAAAAGTAATTAAGATGAAGAGGAAGATAATTATGATGATGATTGTTATGGTCAATTGGTTTTTTTAATTGGTGAAAAAAAGTTTCATCACAATTTACTGGCTTCGATAAAAGACTGTCCTCAGTCGTAGTCCATTTTAATCGTTAATAGGTCCATTGGATCTAATTCCCTTTTATTATTTCGTTTTTAATTGGTGAAAAAAGGTTTCATCACATTTGGAGGTTTTTTTTGAAAAGAAGAACAAAAAATTATTCCATGGTCCAAGTTTGAACACATAATTCAAAATCATTGACGGTGTACCACGATTTATTTCAATTTGTAAAACCGCTGCTTATTTAACACAAATTCACGGCTTTCCGTTATTTGATATGATATTGACACCAAAACTTCGAAGATGTGATACCTTTTTGTTCTTTTTTTCAACAAAAAAACCTTCAAATGACCTCTAGATAGGTTTATCGTGAAATGACCTCAATGACCTTGGAACTTTTTATGCGAAGTCCTTCAGTCCCGATATATACCTGTACGAGGTTTGATCTTTTTAAACTCATTGGTTCTTGACTTATAACTAAAAATCTGCGTAAAATGAAGTTGAATAGCCCTGTATAATGATCTATTTCGAAAGGCCATACGGTATTTGGCATAAGACTCAGTTCGTTTTCACGAATATTCCATTGTCTTAATTACTCCAGATTCGTAAATGAATTGGCACATACTAATCGTTCAATTGATGTTGATCAAATTCACTCTTCAATCAGAATCTTAATTTAACATCATTCCATCAGAGAAATTAGGCCAACGGGTCACACAGTAAATCCATGTTTCAGTCCAACTAATATTCACGTAGCCAACACTCCTGATGAATCGACATTTGATTTGGACTTCGATCTTTTTTTAGTCAATTCAACATTTTGGTAGCTGTGAAGGCCTAAAATTGTCGATACCGATTGAATCGTGAAAAAATAGTTCGGAGAAATTATACAAAACACCAACAGTGCAGAACGTTTACACTTTTGTTCTAAGCATTCAATTGTAATCAAAAAGTTATGTACATTGGGATATGAGGATGAAATAAATCTCGATTATTATCCAGAATATAATCCTAATTGTGTTTTGACAATAAGAGTAAACCCAAAGAGTAAAAACCAAGAGAGAGCACAGGAAGGAAAAACTATGTAGCAACATTTTTTTTGGTGTCGCGAGGTGGAGCCACTAGTAGATTTGTAAAGAGAGAGAGAAAAGAAAGAGAAACATAGTAAATTCAGTGCAGAACACAAATCTAATTGTTTTTAATCATTTTAACAATTTTTAAGAATCAATTGAGTCTTGATAAGTTCTGCAGTTGTTCTATTTCTCGAGTTTCTTATATTATGTGCGGTTTTATCTACTTTTTTTATTAAGTATACATTACATCAATACTAAGATGATCTATCAATTAAATAAAACACATTAGTCCTGATTTGAAGTGATCTTAAAGATCCAATTTATAAGATTTGTATCAAACCCAACCATTAATTCGATTAAGTTAAATAAAATAACAAACGAATAGGATATTTCATAGAAAAGTAACTTTGAGACTTTCGTACTGATTATTATTACCGATCGTAAAAATTTACTTAATTGTCTTGAATATTCGACGATTTGATTATAAAAAACTTTATTTTTATATTAATAAACCTTCAATCCGTACCCACGATCCTTTACTTATGAATTGCTAAACTTGTGCAAGCTTGCCAATGAAATCTGAAACGACAAGAAACTATTGAACAAGCAAGTTTAAGAAAGAATAAACAAGTCGTTAAAGAGTTCCCAAGAACAAAAGATAATTTAATTTAACGTGAATCAAAAAGAGAAGAATGAGATATGAAGCGAATATTAGTGTGTACAATGGAATATCAAGCATGGAAAACATGAAACAAAAATCAAATAATGGCAGATAAATGATGAACAAGTGGATGTCATGAAGTTATGATATGAAATAAGATGATCAATGTTGTGTTGATGAAGTCGATTGAATACATTGAATTTCTTTGATGGATTTTCTAGTTTTTCTTGATGTCAGATGATGTCTTCTATGATCTTTCATGAATTTTCCAATGAACATGTTGATGAGATGACGAATCGATGCTGCTTTAATCTCTGAATAATGACATGATGGAACAAATGAAAAGTCTTGTGATCTAAGGATGGCATGAAGTTTAAATTTTATTCCTTCTTCACTGATGATGGGTGGCACAGATGAAACAAGAGCTTCACAACAAGAGATGATGCAGTTTATGAATTGAAGTGATGGCAACATGAGGAAATTGTTATCACCTTGAGCATAATTTCTACACAAAATGAACTGATGGTCAGGTAAAATATTAACAGAATCAATCGAGGGTAAACATAGGTCGCAATGATTGCCTTTAGATTTGATTCTGCGAATAAGATAACCTGCAATATATGCGATGAGTCCCCTATTTGATGAAATATTTGTGATGTCATGATTGGCAAGACAATCATGGTCTTCGCCGATGTCTTCTTCAGCAGTGAAAGTTGTTAAAAAGTCAGAAATGGCGGATGGATATGATGGATTTAAGGATGTAAAAAGTTCTGTGAGTTCTTGATGAGATGAATCCGTTTCTGGGATGTCAGATTCGGTTAGAAGAGGTGTATCTTCATCTGCTTCACAGTTTGACGATGGTAACGATTGACCAAAAAGAATCATGGAATCTTTAAAAACTCGACGATATTTGGTGGTTGTGATTTCATTGTGATGAAGATGGCGAATTTGAGCAAAATGGTTCTCGATGATATCTTGATTGAATCTACGTGTGGTTACTTGACGGAAGCCTTTACTATACAAAATATCAGATACTTCAAGAATGCCACGGATCGTTTGAGAAAGCATGTTTAGACAGTACACCTGCTGATTAGCCTGATGAATTTGATTCTCTTTTAAGAAACAAAAACCTTCAGTCTCGATTAAATGAGCAAAAGATAGAAGAAATTGAGAATTAGAATCACCCTGCCTCAAAGCTGTTTTCCATGGTTTGCCATCTTGCCAAGAAACTGATGATGTGTTCAAAACATCGAAGAGTTTGTCAACTGTTCTAAGAAACTCAACAACTAAACGATATGGATTTTCATTGATTTTTCCGCTCATAACACAATGTTCAAAATATGAAGCAACAGAATGACTGAAAACTTGAGTAGCAAGTTTCACGCGCATCTTATCTCGACCCTGAGGGTTCAAATGAGTCGCTGTCAATCTAGGACACTCACATATCGTATTTTCAAGCATTGGTGTTAGCGGAGCGGTAATATCATCCCATTTAATTATTCCCTCCTGACCAGAGAACCTACAAAACAACCTTTTAGTCATCAAATTATTCCTGATCAACTTGAAAATGTGAGGGACATCATAAAGGAAAGCTATTCTATTACCAGAAAATTCATAAATAGGTGAAGTCGTTGAGATTCCTAAAAGAGGAGCTAATCCCCGATTAATAGATGCTCCATCACAAACTGAGGCAACAACATTGAAACCAGCTTTGAAGCAGGCTTCAAGATTCTCTTCCAAAAGTAATTTAAGCTGTTCACTTTTGAAACCATTTTTAGGCGGAAAATAAAATGAAATTATTTGTTTCCATCTCGTATTTAACCCCCTAATCCCAAAAACTAACAAAGCAGTTGCAACTTCAGGTGTACGTCCATGCTTTCCCATATCAACGAATCCGTCAATCATATCTTGGCGACCTAAGTATCTGAATTCTGGACTAAGTTCAGTTTCGTCGAAAGATAACACACAATTCGAATCAAGTGAAGGTAAAGATGACGATGCTTTGGTTAAAAGTTTCATTGTTTCTGATGTTATACCAGCTTTTGAGATGAAAAAACGATTGATGCGATCCAAAGTACGAATTGATGGTAATGAAAAATGATTACGATATAAAATAAAAGCTGAACGATTTCTACAGTTTATGGAATTGGCTAGTTTTTTCGCATGAAGAGTGTGACGACGACTTTGTGGTGCTTTGGAATGATTTTGGATGGCGTTGGTGAATAAAATAAAAGCTTCTGGTGATACTAATGATGACAACTTATGAAGATGCTTGATGATGAAAGATTGGGATGGATTTTCACTTAGTCTAGTATATTTACAACGAAGAGATGATAATTGTTTCTTGGTGGTCATGAGTTCATTGGTGATATCTTTTAAAATGTAACATTGTGTTCCTTTGTCATTTGATGAGTATGTATCTGATGTTGATGTTGGTGTTGATGTTGATGTTGATGTTGATGTTGATGTTGATGTTGACGGCAAGGATGTGATTGATGATATGGTTTCGTATGGAAGAGCTTCTCTCACTAATCGTCGCCTGCCAGTATGATCTTGTGAATATAATGATGGTGAAAAATGATTTGAGCAAACATATGAAGATGAACATTCATTGATTGTAAAGTCTGATGGTAATGCTAATGATAAAAGTTCTATCCACTTTGATGATTGTTGAATGTCTTTTGGAAATGAAAAGAATGAAACTTTGCCATTATTTGATGATGAACAGTTGAGGATGACACATTTTGACACTTTAGAACATGCAAAATAGCAGTGAGGAACATGCAATAGACAGATAGAAGTTCATGCATTGAGGAAACATGTATCATGCAATTAGAAGCTTGGACAAACAAAAGTATCAACAAATACTCATGAATAAAGAATATTAAATAATATAAACAACTTACTGATTGATTATTATGAAAAAGATATTGATGATTGACAATTAATGTAAGTGAGTATGAATTCTTCTGCAAATGAAGAAAACGAAGCAAAGAAAATGGATTAATGTGTAACTAAATTCATCAACGTTAATTGGCGTTGAAGTGTTGAATCAAGAAGATATATCCTGTCTTTCTGAAAGACAGGAAAAATCATCGCATCAACGTTAATTGGCGTTGATGCGATGTAACACAGCCTAACATTCCCTAAAAAATACGGACAGAGGTGAGTTAGCGTGGGGGACTAGGATATACGAGTTTTACATTGCCCCCTTTATCTTGGTGAACTCACGGTCACCACTCTCGTTGTAGGATTTCAACCCTACAACGGAAACACATCGTCCATGCTTTTGGCAGGACGATGCTCCCTAACTTTACGCACAACGGCAACAACATAAGATAAGAGGTTTATTTAGTAATCACAACTAGTAAGACGGCCAATGTCTTACGTTATTTAATTCAAAGAGCAAGGAACTCGTTTACTCTTCGAATTCACTCCAAAAAATTGATTAATCTTAAGTTAATAACAATTTTTCACTACACACTATGCACAGAATTGATTAAGATTGGATTATCACTCGATATCACAATCATCTTGAAAAAGTTATATATTTTTGCGACAAATTTGTAATTTCATCATCAATGAAAATCGAATTTATAAAAATCATAAGTTAAATATTGGACAGATTATCAATAAAAAACATAACAATAATTTTATAACGATAACAGAATAGAAATTAAAAATTTTCTAATTAACATTGATTAATTATAATGGTTTAGTTTTTCAATTTATCCAAAAGGGAAACAATTAAAAAATTCTAATCTTATAAAAATTGATTTTAATTTTTGCGCGCAAAAATTACGATGAAATTTTTATAAGTTAAAATTTTTCAATTGATTCCCTTGGGAATCAATTGAAAAATCAAAACCATTATAATTAATCAATGTTAATTAGGAAATTTTAAAACAAAGCTGAAAAAAATATGAAAGATTAGCATAAAAAAGGTCCTTACTTTTAAATATAAATCTTTAAATCTTTAAATCTTTAAAAATCTAAATAATTAAGAGACAAAGAAAAAAAGAAAAAAGAGAAATTAATTAATTTTGATTTATTGTTTATGTTTTTGTGTGAGTGAGGTTTCTCTTTCTTTTCTCTCTCTTTACAAATCTACTAGTGGCTCCACCTCGCGACACCAAAAAAAATGTTGCCTCATAGTTTTTCTGTTATGTGCTGTCTCTTTCTCTCTACTCTTTGAGTAAACCACAGTTGAAATACCCAATGGATACAATGAACAGTTAATTGTTTGTATTAATATTTTAATCTCTCGGACAAAATGTTTCATTTAATTTCTTCAACAAGATTTTCTTCGTTTTGTATAATTCTCTCATCGATAGTTGGTATTAATACTAATCTTATAATCCACGAATCAAATGTTTGGATTCCGATATTCAACAACAATTTACGAACCCCTTATTTCTTTTTCACTGATGACAAATTTTACCCAACTAATTATTCAAGTCGAGTTCTCAACACAAACCTTAGTACAGTTGGTGAAGCAAATAGCACGACTCGTTTTGTTCCAGCTTATTCTCATAAACTCAGTAACTTCATATTGCAAAGCAAGAGCAGCTACAACTCCGTTATTAATTACGTGCATTATAATTTTACAGAAAACGGTTTTGAAGTTATAGCCGGGCCTTTTTCTCGAATATTCAGGAGGACCCATCGATGGCTTTCCATCAGTGATTCAATTTATGGAATCGGAATGACATTAGAATTCAATATAACGAATTCTCGAGTAGTTTTATTTCTATTTGTTCGATCTTATGCTGATTACAATACTTTTGCAACAATTGGTCAACTTTCTCCCGTCGAATCCACCGTTCGCTCGTTTCAAATTCTTCAAGTCTTCAAGTTTCGAGAAAAGATCTACTCGTTCGGCCTTCTGACGATTCATCTCCTAAGGCCAGTCTACTTAATCTCTCAGATATCAAACTTTTCAATCAACAGGGAACAAGCCAGTTTAAGATATTTAATAACTGAACTTCATTCTATTTCATTATATGAACGTTATGGTTCAGTTGACAAAGTTCGATTTGTTGATTCTTTTTCTATCATGAGCAATGGATCTTCATTCTCTTTAATTGCAGTCTCTTATAATCGAAATGAAACAGATCATATTGCAGTGTTTCCATTTAATCCGATGCTGCATGACTTTGAAGGGCCAACTAATCGTTGTCAAACCGTGAGAACTTTATGGAAGGCTGATATTTTCAACCAATCTGGCCCAGAGTGTAACTCTTTTCGTTATCAGGACGTGCTTACGTTATCACGAATATTGTCAATACGTAAAGAATTTACAGGGTATCATCTTACAGATATTCTAACGGAAAACTGGACACGAATAGTTGATTTTGTTCCATTGGCTCTTGATGCGACTCCAGGTTATGTTTTTCTTGTTCTTTCCTCTAACAGTAATTTTACCAGATATCGATATTCAATTCACTTTGTCAATGAAAATTATTCTGTCTCGACCCACCCGAACGAAGCTACTTTCACTCATCCTAATATTGTTGACGCAAATGAAACAGTATCACAAATTTATTACTACGGTTTTACTCATCCACGAGCCATAATTACACTCAATCAGTATTCTTACTCTGAATCAATTATTTTGTGTCCATTCTTGAACAATTCATGTATTGATTGTTTTACAACCAAAGTTTATAATCCGAATGGTAATTTTCTTCGATATTGTCAATGGAGACGAGGAAGTTCATTAACATCGGGTGAATGCTCAATCGGCGATACAGATTCTACTGATTCGAGGTAATAATTTGAAGAGTTACGCTATTATCCTATTTAATTCTAATCCATCATCTTTTTTACAGAGAAACTACACTCACGAATCAAACAGTAAATCCATGTTTCCGTCCAACTAATATCGAAGTAGACTACACTTCTAATGAACCGACATTTGATTTGAACTTCGATCTCCTTGGTTTCCATTCAAGATATGCAGATATTTTTCCCTTGAACTTCACTTTAGTCGACATTACAACACTTTCATTCATAGAAAATTGTACTGTTGTTAGTTATAATCAGTCCAAGATTTATCTCAACTGCAACTGGGTGAATTCTGGTCAATATCAATTATCGATTCTTATGCTTAGACGACGAGGTCCATTTGAAACAGGAGACATTGATAACTTAATCACTTATAGTGATCCTTTCACCATCATTACACCTTCACCTTCACCTTCACCTTCACCTTCACCTTCACCTTCACCTTCACCTTCACCTTCACCTTCACCTTCACCTTCACCTTCACCTCCTCCTCCTCCTCCTCCTGAATCTTCTTACAGCCTGTTGATAATATTACTAGTTATGGCCTTTATTATCTCTATGATTGCATTCGTTGTATTTTATATTCGTCGTAATGAGGTCAGAAAAGTCCCGGTCTCAATGGTCGAGGCAAAAAATCTTCCATCCAAAGGCTCGCTACCTGACATAAGGAACAAACATAAATCGTCGTTAAATCTCAAATCTAAATCAGTAGTAATTCCAACAGTTCATCTCAAATCTAAATCAGAACCATTTTTGAAAGTGCGTTCCCGTGAATTGGTCGGCAAAAAAAGCAAATCAATTGATCCAAAAGTCCCCAAGAAAAGCCCTTCAAAATCCAAGACCATCGCAACACCCAAACAGACAAAAAGAACAAGAAATGAATCTCTTCAATCGACAGCTAAACGATAAAAGGTCCAATTTCAATTTCAGATCTGTCATCTAAATTGCTCCAGGAAATTTAAGTTAAAGCCATTACAACTATTCTCAGTAACTTTCGTCGAGTTCTTAACTTAATAGTCAATTCGCTTTTATATTGATAAGAAAAGTAAACTTTTTGATTAAAATGCATTTTTTAATTGTTTCTTTAAATTTTTACTGAATAATTTCTCAAATTTTTATGGGATTATTGTTGAGTTTTGATTAATTCTTGAATACGATTCACATTTGAAAATGGCAAAAAGATCTAAGAAAAGGGATGAGAAGAATCGCATTCGAAAATTGATCAAGTCTTGAGTAATAAAAATTTAATTAATAAAGTTAACTGTTTGTACAATCAAGACTTTTAATTTAAAAATTTAGTTGTAAACAACAAGCTGTGAATATTGGAATAAGAAGATGAAAATAATTCTCGGTTATTATCCAAAGAATATAATGCTAATTGTGTTTCCATAATTAGAAAAAAAATCCAATTGTCTGTTTTTCGTCTCTACAGTAGAACAAAATGTTTCATTTGATTTCACTGGCTAGTTTATTCGCAGTTTGTATATTACTCTCATCGATAGTTGGTGTTAATACTAATCTTATAATCCACGAATCAAATGTTTGGATCCCAATTTTCAACAACAATTTACGAACTCCTTATTTCTTTTTCACTGATGACAAATTTTACCCAACTAATTATTCAACTCTCTAACTATTCTAACGCCGTTGGTGAACAAAATAGCAGGACTCGTTTTGCTCCAGCTTATTCACATAAACCCAATCACTACCTTTGACAGGCGAAGAGCACCCGTATCATTTTCGCCCATTATAACTATACAGAAAATGGTTTTCAACTAATAGCCGGACCTTTTCCTCGAGGAAACCTTAATATTCATCGATGGCTTTCCACTAATGAATCATTTTATGAAATTGCAAGGTTTTCAGGATTCAATATAACAAATTCTCAAGCCAGGATATTTGCGCAAATTCGATTTAATGTCGATTACACCAGTTATTGGAGTATTTGGTTGTTAACTTTTATCGAATCCACAGTTCGATCGTTTAAAATTCTTCAGGCTTTCAAGTTTAGGCAGAATATATACTCGTTCGGCCTTCTTACAATTGACCTTCTAAGCCCAGTTTACTTCATCTCACAAACATCAAACGTGCATCTTTCTCAGCCTTATCGGTATAACTACAAAGATATCCATTCAATTTCATTTCATGATCGTTATGGTTCGGTTGACAAAGTTCGATTTGTTGATTCTTTTTCTATCATGAGCAATGGATCTTCATTCTCTTTAATTGCAGTCTCTTATAATCGAAATGAAAGCGATCATATTGCAGTGTTTCCATTTAATCCGATGCTGCATGACTTTGAAAGGCCAATTAACGGTTGTGAAAATACGACAACTTTTTGGAAGGTTGATTTGTTCAACGAAACTGGTCCAGAGTGTTATGTGTTCGGAAACAACGCCCTAAGTTCTATGTTACGTAAAGAATTTACAGGGCATTATCTTACAGATATTCTAACGGAACACTGGACACGAATAGTTGATTTTGTTCCATTGGCTCTTGATGCGACTCCTGGTTATGTTTTTCTTGTTCTTTCCTCGAACAGTAATTTTACCAGATATCGATATTCAATTCACTTTGTCAATGAAAATTATTCTGTCTCGACCCACCCGATCGAAAGGACATTCACTCATCCTAATATTGTTGACGCAAATGAAACAGTATCACAAATTTATTACTACGGTTTTACTCATCCACGAGCCATAATTACACTCAATCAGTATTCTTACTCTGAATCAATTATTTTGTGTCCATTTTTGAACAATTCATGTATTGATTGTTTTACAACCAAAGTTTATAATCCGAATGGTAATTTTCTTCGATATTGCCAATGGAGACGAGGAAATTCATTAACATTGGGTGAATGTTCAATCGGTGGTTCAAATTCTTCTGATTCAAGGTAATAATTTGAAGAATTACTCTTTTATCCTATTTAATTCTAATCCATCATCTTTTTTACAGAGAAACTACACTCACGAACCAAACAGTAAATCCATGTTTCAGTCCAACTAATATCCAAGTAGACTACACTTCTGATGAACCGACATTTGATTTGAACTTCGATCTCCTTGGTTTCCATTCAAGATATGCAGATATTTTTCCTTTGACCTTCACTTTAGTCGACATTATGACATTTTCATACATAGAAAATTGTACTGTTCTAAGTAGTTAAGTAAAGGCCTCTTCCAGCACATACTTACACTCCAGCACAAAACTCACACTCCAGCACATGAAACTCCAGCACATACTCACACTCCAGAACAGTTTCATGATGAAATTTTTTGCTGAATTTTTTCTCTGGGAAATTTTTGCGCGCGAAATTTAAATTTTTTAAAAAGTTACATTTAACGAAATTAATTGATTTTAATGAATATGAAAATGGAAAACAATGTATTTAAAGCCCTCGAGGGTTTTCTTTGTACTTTTGGGTGTTGACGGAAAATTCTTTCTTCATCTTTTCCATTACCCAAGTGAGGAAACTTATCTCCTCTTTTCCTTCATCCCCTTCCTTAATTTTCAGCATGGCTCTTAATTGTTCATTCTCTCTATGAAGAGCCTCATTTTTCTGCGCTTCTTCGTTGAACAATTTGTCCATTTGGTTGACCTGCTCTAACAATTGGTCCATTGAATTGTTGAGTGACCTGGTCCTTATCCGAACACATTCTCGTGTTAAATGTAATAATTGGCTATTAATCATAACCCTGCCTACATCCTGCTGTTCAGGGGTCCAAGTGGAAAATCGTTCCATGATAGTAGTTAATCGTCTAAACTTTACAGCCATGGGACCAGGAGCATTGAGCTCATCACTAAAAGAATATATAAAAGATTAATAAGATTATTAGGATGAAGAAATCACTGAATAAAATGACTTACCTGAGTGATTCAATGAATTGGTGATATTGAATATCAATAGGGTTATTCATTATAATGAAAGATAATAAGTTTTAATTAATGAATTTAATGAAACAATTAACAATGATTAGTTATCATAAGTAAACAACAAAGATGGTGGAAAAGAATGAAAATTATTCTAAATAGAATATGAAAGTGTCGCCATCTGTTGACACTCAAATACACTATTATGATAAGTGCGCTAGATATGAACCATGTAATTGTATGTAATATATAATTAGTATATAATTAGTATATAATTAGTATATAATTAGTATATAATGATTATAATTAAGCCCAATTAACTACAATTAAGTGCTGATAGGTCACAATTAACCACAATTAAGCCCAATTAACTACAATTAAGTGCTGATAGGTCACAATTAACCACAATTAAGCCCAATTAACTACAATTAAGTGCTGATAGGTCACAATTAACCACAATTAAGCCCAATTAAAATTTCAATTCAGATTCTATTAATATATTTTTATCTATTTGAACTTCGCGCCTAAATTTTTTTTCACTCAAGAGATGGCGACACTTTCAAATTAATTTTCTTTTCTTAACAGAAGATGGCAGCACTTCTGTTATTTTCATTTTATCATCATTTATCTTCCAAACGGATGATAATTTTTTTATTCTGTTCACAGATAAATGTTCAGAAAACTCATGTCTTCATGATGTTCATGAAAAGTTCATTCAGAATATCATGAATTCAGTGTCAACTGAATTCTTGTATTCTCAGACGTAACTATTGTTGTGAAATCACAAGTATATATAAAGGAAAGGTTTCAATGTAAAATCAAGTATTCCTTGTCTTGATGTTAGATCGTGAAGATCCTGAATAGTCAAAGCGAATACCTTTAGGGCCTCTCATTAGTTTTGATATCATCTTTTTGATATCTGAATCCTGATATTCGATTCCTGATTCCTGATATTAAATTCCTGATTCCTGATATTAAACTCCTGATTCCTGATATTAAATTCCTGATACAAAATACGTGTTATCTTCAATATTTACTATGGTAAGTGTGATAATTGTTATTAATTTGTTAGGGATCACTAGAGTTTTTTTTCTTTATAGGTTATCATCATTCCCCTCGAGTCAACAACAAATTTACCTGATCCCAGACGGAAAAAAGATGGCTCTATCGTTCCCGCTGATTTACCACTTCCTCCATTTTGGATTCCAGTCATAAAAAAGTTAACATCTAATCAAGCTGCAAACCAAAGGCGGAAAAGAAGGAAACAAGAGCTGCTAGATCTTCCTGATGACGATGATAGGAAGAAACTTCATTTTATTCGCTCAGGAAGGAGATGGAGATCAAAATGGACGAAACTCATGACTATAGCAAAATGGTGGCTTGAAAAATCCAGTGATCAAGGAGAGGCTAATAATGGTCCATACTATCAGCAATATCTTGTCCTCCAACAAAAAGCAGATAATGCTAAAAGAATTTATAAGGATCTGTACAAACTTGGTGGTTGTCCAGAGTAACTCTATTGTTGTAAAGAGTTAATTATTGTAATTATTTCACTTACATTCTTCAATAATACTTGTTTAAGCAACCATAAAACTCTAGTGATCCCAATTTTCTTTTTGAGTAAGTTAATTTATCTGAATTTTTTCCAATAGGTATTCATTTGTCCTTGTTGTGACTCAATTTTTCAACTATTGGGTGATTATCTGTCACACAATTGTAACTGTAATTATTCGACTTGTAGAATGATGGATACTTTCACTGGCCCACCAACCAAGCGACAGCGAGTTACAGACCCGCAACCATCCACACAGTCATCACAATCAAGCTGTTCCAGTGATTGCTTGGTGTGTGGACCTATCATCAACAATGTTGATCATGAGCCAGAAGAGGTCCAGGATGATCAATTATTTCCTGCACCTGTATCATCACCTTTACTAGAACCAGAGTTGATTCAAATGTCAAGTCAATCAACTATATATCTCAGCTCTGACGATGAAGATGAAATATTGGATCTATCAACACGATCAATTCGTCCATCTGTCATTCATTTCGCTCCGAGAGAAAATGTTGATCAAGGTACTTCACCTATTCACTTTTCTCAGCTCTCACCTGTACCATCACCTGTACCATCACCTGTACCATCACCTGTACCATCACCTGTACCATCACCTGTACCATCACCTGTACCATCACCTGTACCATCACCTGTACCATCACCTGTACCATCACCTGTACCATCACCTGTACCATCACCTGTACCATCACCTGTACCATCACCTGTACCATCACCTGTACCATCACCTGTACCATCACCTGTACCATCACCTGTACCATCACCTGTACCGTCACCATCTCCCATTGATACAGTCCAGAGAGGTGCAGGGCAATCAACTAAAGCCTGCCAGAAATGTGGAAAGACCTATTCAAGGCTTAAACATTTAGAGAATCACGTCAAAATCTGTGGTCAAACTCTTACTTTTCCTCACCCTGAGAATGCACCTGATCAAGTTGGTTGTTTTAGATTGATAAATTCTGCCTTTCAAAAATATTTAGTATTGTATCGAGCAGATGATATTGATGAATTGGATATATCAGTTGTAATCAATTCGAAATCCAAAGATATTGAATCGTTATTGAATGCTTTACTTGACGAATTTGGAGCACTTAAATTCAACATGAGTGTTGTTTGCGAGTTCAACAACAATCTTCTTGGTAAAAACAGTAATGGAGCATTCCATGCAGATTTAGTTCCATGTCTTGCTGGGTCTGATAAATCATCCCTTATAAATGATGGTCTTGAATTTATTCAAGATAGAATTGACCAATTCACACAGAGAGGATCGGGATGGACACTAAGTAAGGTAAAATCAATCGATTTATCAGCTGGAAAATACAAACCACAAAGAGGTGGCTGTCTCACCAATGAATTGCCATCGTTTATCAGAAATAAAACTTGTTTAGTGTCACCAAAGACTAATGAAGACTGTTTCATGTATTCTGTTCTGATTGGATTACACAAATCTAAAACTAATGCCGGGAGAATATCCAACTACACTCATTTAATCTCATCATATGACTTCTCTGATGTCCGAGGTATTGTTCCAGTTGACACAATTCATAAATTTGAAACAAAAAATAAAATATCAATTAATGTATACCTGTTTTAGAGACTCTAAAAATATTGTACCACTGAAAATATGCTCAACTGAATTGGAAAACCATGTTGATTTGTTCCTTTACAATCAACATTACTATACAATTACAAACTTCAATCGTTTAGTTTCGAGCCAACAGTCAAGATCCAAATATTATTGTAAACGTTGTTTGTGCTCATTCCGACTAAAAGAACGACTCAATCATCATTATAATGATTGTTCTCAAGTAAAAGCTCAAAGATTATTATTACCGTCACAAGAAAATTGTACTCTAAAACGGAAAGATTTACATAAAGAAGTCCAATTTCCTGTATGCATTTATGCCGATTTCGAGACTTTGAATGTAAAGTGTGATGATATTAACATAATCAGTAACTTGGAGCCGTGCAGTTATGGGTACATTGTAGTTGATTGGCAAGGTCAAATTATCCATAAAGATTTTTATCTTGGTACTGATGTCGGGAAAAAATTTTTGGAGAGTCTTATAAGTTCTGAAGACTTTATAAATAAATATGTTGCTGATAACATAAAGCCTCTTTCACTTACTGCTGATGAAGAAAGATTATTCAGAAATGCTGATAAATGTCATATCTGTGAGCTACCAATTGGTACAAAAAAGTGTTCGTGACCATGATCATCTCACTGGCAAATTCCGAGGTGCTGCCCATCAAGATTGTAACATAAATTATAAACTGCCAAAACAAATTCCAGTAATTTTTCATAATCTGAAAAATTTTGACAGTCATATTATTATAAGAGCCTTAGAATCATCGATGGTGAAAAATCCAATCAACATAATTCCTCATTCGACAGAGAAATTTATCGGTTTTATCATGGATGATTTCAAATTTTTGGATAGTTTTGCTTTTCTTCCAGCAAGTTTGGACAATTTATCAGCAAATCTTGAGCCACGTGATAAATTATTCTACTTCGAACAAATATTCAGTCATCCAGATTTAACACTATTACTGAAAAAGGGTGTCTACCCTATGAGTATTTGGACTCACTTGAAAGATTTAATGAAAGTGATTTACCAGTAAAAGAAAAGTTCTACTCAAGTCTTTCTGAAACTACCGTTTCAGATGAAATTTATCAACACGTCCAGGATGTTTGGAATCAATTTAAGTGCAGGAGTTTAAAGGATCTACATGATATTTATTTGAAGTCTGACGTTCTCTTGCTAGCAGCAGTGTTCGAAAGTTTCAGAAAGATGTCTCTTTCCAATTTTGGAATAGATCCATGTCATCATTTTTCTTCACCAGGATTAACTTGGGCAGCAGCTCTGAAAACGACAAAAATTGAGCTTCAATTATTTTCGGACGTTGACATGCTGTTAATGATAGAAAAAGGTATTCGAGGTGGTTTGACAATGGTCAGTAAGAGATACGCAAAAGCTAATGCACCTGATATACCTGATTACAAACCAAACGAGCCGATCAGTCGGATTTTGTACTTTGATGTCAACAATTTATATGGTTATGCCATGTCTCAAAAGCTCCCAGTTAATGGATTCAGTGGTCTGAAGATAGTATTGAGATGATATTGTCAACTTCAGATGATTCTCCATATGGATATATACTTGAAGTGGACTTGGAGTATCCTGACGACTTACATGATAAACACTCTGACTTACCTCTAATGCCAGAAAAGATGTGTATTAATCCAAACTTACTATCAAATTACCAAACAAATCTGATGAAAAATCTCCAAGAGAGAGGGATTAAAGTACATGCTTCTACAAAACTAGTCACAACGTTTCTATCAAAGATCAATTATGTTTGTCATTACCAAACCTTGAAATTTTATGTTCAGCTTGGTGTTAAAGTCACAAAGGTAAACAGAATCATCAAATTCAATCAATCATCATGGCTAGCTGGTTATGTAGATTTCTGTACGAATAAACGTCAAGCGGCTGTAAGTGAATTCGAAAAAGATTTTTGGAAACTGCTCGTTAACTCAATTTATGGAAAAACCATCGAGGATAAACGTAAGCATATCAAAGTAGAGATAGCAATGAAAGATATTCAAGCCGAGCGATACATGCGTAAGAACATGGTACAAAAGTTTGTGATACTGGATGAAAATAAAGCTTTATTTCAAATGAAGAACATTATAGTCAAAATGGATAAACCAGTAGCAGTTGGATTCAGTGTTCTCGAACTTGCCAAATTGAAAATGTACCAGTTACATTATGAGTCATTTTTACCTTACTTTGGTGACAAGATTAATCTTCTTTATACTGACACCGATAGTTTAATCTATCATGCTCAAACGATTGATGTTATTCAAGATCTACAAAATTTACA